ATGTTTTGAGGAGAAATGGTGAAAGCATTGAAAAAGCAAATGAAGAAGAAGAAGCGCAGTTTTACGGAATGTGAACGGGAGGTAATAGTGGATCAAATTGACAAAAGATGTGTGTTATTTGCATCCCTAAACTCTGGCATGAACAACAGAATGAAGCAAGGTGAATGGCAGAACAGGGGCAGTGAATACGGTTAGTTCCGAGGCTCAGACCCTATAGGAGATTTAAAAGAAGGGTTCTGATTTCAAATGGTCTCTAAATACTCACTGCATTGTACATTCCTAGACCACACATTGATGGGTTACATAATTGGGCAATACTATTCTGCATTATATCCTGTGAATAACTCATTATCCTGGAGAAAGAACACACGATGTAAATGAAAAATTTAAAGAATGTTGATATACTGAAAAATAGGTTTAGTACCACTGCTCTGTTGTGAAATCCTTTATTCAATACTCTCAACTCACGCAATTGAAGGAAGGTGATGAAACAGTCTGGAAAAGAGAGCACCAATTTTAGCATGGAAATGGTTGAATCACAACCCATGCTTCCTGTTTTCCGTGGCTGCAATAGCTTAGCTTAAAGTTAGACTATTAGTTAGTTAGTCATACTATTGATATGTTCCAATTACATTTGTCCTTCCATTCATTTGTGACGAAGTCAGGGAACTTTTCATGATGACAATACAGCACAATAAAAAAACGAAGAAGAAGAAGAAGAAGTAGTTAATCCTAATTCCATTTGACATTCATAGTCTGATCACAGTGTCCGAACACAAGCAAGCTAAAACAAGAAATGAGACATGGCTCTCTCTGCTTGAAGGAGGACACTGACCCTGTGGAACAAATATCACGCTTTGTTTCGTGGTTCAAAGGTGGTGTAGCCATTGTGAAACAAACCTGTGTGTAAAAGCTCAGCAGACACAGAAGCACAAAAAATTATTATGTTTATTGTTCCTTACATTTACAGTGCAGAGTCAGAGTTCCTCACACTGAGCATACAAATGTTTTGAATTAAAACTATTCTATGGGTCATTTTTAAAACATAAAATGTCAAAATCTACTGGTGAAATAGAAATTTGGCTCCTTTTATGCTCTTTTTATAAATTTAGTTTCAATTGATTTAAATTACTTATATTCAGATGGAAACTACGCCAACTAAACTAAACGCCAAAAAATAAAAAATAGCATGATAACAAGATCCATACTCTCATTTGTGTCCTTTAAATATAGCTTTAGCCAGGAGATAGTTAGCTTATTAGCACAGACAACGGAAGAGAAGTTAATTCACTTTCTTAGATGGGAAGTTTGATACCACTTACACATATCCATTAAATATAAGGCTGCAGCCAGCAGGTAGTTGGCTTAAGTAATTTCCCCACGGGGATTATTAAAGTATTTCTGATTCTGATTCTGATACACATTAAACAGCAAAAAACAACTAGCTTGGCTCTGTCCAAAGGTAAAAGAATCCACCAGCACAGGAGCAGCACCTCTAAAGCTCAATAATTAAATGTGGGTTAAGCAATTATGAAATCAGCTAAAAAAAAAAAACGGCTCATGAGAAGTAGTTTAATGTTTGTAAAACAAAAAAGTAAGAGTAAAAATGATTATGATGTTTTTATTATTTATGTATTTTCAGTTACACTGATCAGCCATAACATAATGTCATAATGCCTGCTTTCTGCTTCTAACAACTTTGAGGACAAA